AGAGAGAGAGAGAGAGAGAGAGAGAGAGAGAGAGAGAGAGAGAGAGACCAAATTAGACAGTCAGACTTGTTGGTACATGATGCCTATAGCTCTATAGTTTTGGCGTCAGCAACATGGGAGGTGAAGGTAGGAGAATTGGAGGTTTGAAGTCTATTTGGACTACACAGAGAGTTCAAGGTCAACTTGGACAATTTAGTGAGACCCTGCCTTGAAATAAAGTATTTCCAGGCACAATGACATATGATTTTAATCTCAGAACTCAGGAAAGCTGGAGTGTCCCTATGTGCCCGAGGCCAGACAAGTCTACATAGCCAGCTCTAGGTTAACCTGGCTACAGTAAGACATTGTCTCAAAAATGGTAGTGAAGGGCAATGAATACGGCTTAGTTTCATTTTATATAAGGTCACAAAGCCCAAGTTTATTTCCCAATCCTTCAGAAACACCCTTTTCAACATCATCTCAAAACCTAGGTCAGAAAGAGAGTTAGTACTGCTCTGAGCTAGAAGTCGTTTGTATATTTTCTGTTTTCCACTTATGATTCACACACATACACACTCTTCTCCTTTTCTTTGACTTTCTAAGACACAGTCTTGCTATGTAGTTCAGGATGTCCTTGATCTCTCAGTCACCACACTACCATGCCTTACTTATGAATTACATATTTCTATGCATAATATAATCAGAACACAGATGGAATAGTGTACTTGGATTATTTCACCTCATTGCTAAGTGAAGAATGGCATAAAATTCCTTTAGTTTCAATCCCTTATAAAAACTCTTTAGACATGTATTAGTTTGCTTTTTCACTTTAGTACACAGTCTGGTAAACATGGATGATTCCTTTGTGAGGATCATATTGAACATTTATGCAGCTACAGGACTAAGTGTATGGGAGTATGAACTAAATCATGCTATGACCGAGGTTTGTTTGAAAGTCTGGAGAGAGGGCTCAGCAGTTAGGACCTGAGTTTATTTCTCAGCACCCTTATCAAGTAACTCACTAGTGCCCGTAGCTCCAGCTCCAGAGGATCAGGTGCACTCTTCTGCTTACACACACACACACACACACACACACACACACACACACCACACACGGGCAGAGCAGGAAGGCAGACAGATAAGACATAAATACACATTAAAAATAAATAATCATGGTATGGTTGGTTCATTATCCCAACTTTTCTTTCTTTCACACAGGTAGAAGACAGGAAAAGGTTTCTTGTGTAATGTTTCCTATATGTAAAAGATAACATTATATACTTCAAGTTGACCTAAAATAAACAAGGCTTCCTTAGCATCTAGTGAGCAATCAATTGTGTAATTCCACTATAAGTACCTGATTAGTCCATGCTCCGACATTAAAGTTCAGTCTTACTCCTTTTGGATGACGTGGAATAGTCCTAATTGAGGTGTATCTGCCATTCAGGAATTCAGCACCAACTTCGTATCTCCATAAACTGTCAATTAAAACATAGTAATTAATAAGTAGATATAGTGGCCACTAATCAGATGAGCAACTTTGAGGCCTTCAACTTAACTGTCTGTAGGTCTCATTTCTAAAGGTCTAATAGAAGAAGGTATGTGCTTTACCACTGAACTATACTCCCAACCCTAATTTCCTTCACATCTTTATGTAGCATGTATTCGAATTGGTCTTAATAATAAAAACAGAGTCAGCTATCAGGGTGAAAGCTGAAGGATCAGAGAGGCAGAGTGGTCAACTACTTACCTCTACCAATGCTCAGACAGAAGAGGCAATCCTGTCCCAGACTACCTCCTCAGACTGCCTGCTGTCTCAGACTGCACTGAGCTCCTGTCTCCTCCCACATTATATTCCTCTCTAAGCCATATCACTACTGTCTCCACCTCCTGGTGCTGGGATTAAAGGCATGGGATTCTAGAGTGCTGGGAACACCTCTGTATGAGCTGTTTCTTTTTAAAACAGATTCAATATCGTGTAGCCCAGAGTAGCCTTGAGCTCACAGAGATAAATCTGCCTCTGTTTACGGAGTCCTGGGATTAAAGATATGTTGCCACCACTGCCTGGCCTCTATGATTAACTAGTGTGGCTTAGCTCTGAACTCTGATCTTCAGACAAGCTTTATTTGTTAGATTACAAACAAAATATCACTACCCCTTGAGATGAATTTTCACTTGCTAGATAAGAACCCAGTTTTACTCTGCTTTAAGTATAGTATATTTGTAACAAAAGTAATCGCAACTTTCGTAGGAAGAAAATGGATTTGTGATTGCCTTGGACCAGGGTGGGGAAAAACATGGGAGAGGGAATGGTACGAATGAAGAGTCAGTTATAAAGAGTATAAAATTTTGGGGGATGACAGTGAAAACATTCTAAAATAAGACTATGATGAAGACTCCACATTTTTAATATACTAAAAGCCACAGAACTGTGTAGTTTAACTACATAGTATAAAAAAATGAAGCTTAATAAAACTGTTAGAAACTGTGACTATAATCCTAACACTCAGGAGGTACAGGCAGAAAAATCAGGAGTTCATGGATATCCTTAGCAACATAGAGTTTGAGGCCAGTCTTGACTATATGAGACTGTCTCAAAAAAAAAAAAAAACCCAAAGCAAGCAGCTGCTTGCTATCTTCACCACTATGCCTACCTACTTTTCTGAGTCCCAACTTTAAAAATGTAACCTTCCCTTTCCCCGTTTCTATCACGTTTGATAGTGGCTAAAATCCCAACCTTGTTCAGAGAGTCTGAGGCCTACTTTTCCACATGAAGTTTATAAATATGCTTGCTTTCTTGGACCTTAGATCAAAAGACATCTTTCTCTCTTCTGCTTCTCCTTCTACCTCCTCCTGGCAGCTGCTGAGATTTACAACTTGTCTGCCCTGTCACTATTTCTTTTTTCTAACTCATAAAATGGTCCTTATATTTAAGTAAAAAGAAGAAAGTTACAAAAATGTTAGCTGGAGGGCTAAGGGTGCAGAACAGTGGCAGAATACTTGATTAGATTGTATGAAGCCCCAAGTATCATTCTCTACACCATAAAAATCCTAAATGAAAAATTGAACTAAAAGTCAATGTGGCAGCACAAACCTAGAATCCCCCAAACCAGGAGAGCAAGGCTGGAGGATCCCAAGTTTAAGGGCAACCTGGTTACATAGAAGGTAGAAACCATCCCATGACATCAAGACCTTGGTGGCTCCCACCCAAGAGAAAAAATTAGTAGAAAACAATGTGGTAGCACATACATAGAATACCCCAAACCAAGAGTTTGAGGCACGAGCATCTTGAGTTTAAAAGCAAGCTTGGATTTCTGTGAAATTTGTTGTGCCATGTTGCAAAGAAGTGTTCAAGAAAGGGTCTTATGGGTGGCTGCTAGCTGTTCTGGGTTATGTTTTGCCTTATTAATAGCTCTTTCTGTCAGTAAACAGCACAGCATCTCATGCATTCTAGGCTGACTTGAATTTCATTAAATAGTTGAAGATGACCGTGAACTTTAGAAGGTCTTGCCTCTAGCTCCTGAGTGTTGGAATTGCAGACATTAGCCAATAAGACTGGTATTATGCCCTTCTAGGGAATGAGTAAAGAGATTCATACATGTGAGACAGGCAGTCTACCAACTGGACCACACCCTCAATCCAAGGGGAAATTTTTTATTGGGTAGCTAAAATAGTATCAGGGAGTAGGCTCATCATATATAGTCACACTTTACCATAGCACAACAAAGGTCCAAAGGCTATGTAGTTGTCTTGATATTATTACTTGTATTTTTCTAGTCAGCAGTTCTATATAGATAAGGTGCTTTCTATAATAGTTTTTTGTCTTGCTATATTGTTTCTATTAGGTTTTGAGTGGACCAAAACTGCTTTTTGGGGAAAAATGAGAATTCAGTAAATAATGAGATATATAATAGTTTCCTTCCTCCCTTCCTTCGTACACCTCTCTCCTTCCTTCCTTTCTTCCTTCCTTCTCTGCCATTCCTCCTTTTGCAGCATTAGGCATCAAACTCAGGGCTCTATATAAATCTAGCCAAGCACTCAACTGAATCCTTTAATGTTAAGTTTCCTTGTAAAATTATTGTTGCATTTTCTCTGGCATTTTTTTCTTAATTTTTCCCTTTAACAACATGTACCTGGTTTAGCCTAATGAAATCATAAGACAAGGCGAAAGTCGGAATGACTGACAGTGAGAAGGTTGTGATTTGGTGAAAATGTGTGTGTGCATTAAAGATAAAACTGGAATCTTACAAGAGGGCAAGTTGGGTAGTTCAGATGTTTTTATTTGCAGAATGGACTCTAGCTGACAAGCAGTCAGAAACTAGATTCTGCCAACCACTACAATGATCTTGGTAGTAGGTACCTCCCTAGAAATTTCTAATAAGCGGGCACCCTGGGCAGCACCGTGATTCCAGGCATGTGAATGCCTAGCAGACAAGCAAACCTGGATATCTGAGCTGCCAAACTGGGAGATGACGGATGGGTTCTGTTCAAAGCCTCTGTGAGCAGTAAAGGTGGATGCCAGGCAGGCCCGTTGTGGGCAAGTTTCCATGTGTATGGGGTGGTGGTGGTAAAAGGGCTATCGATCTTTTGAATGACTTTTTAGATGCCCCCAGCTTTCAAATCTGTTTGTTGAGCTATTGTTTTAGCTAAAGCTCTTAGAGAAACTTTCAGTCTGTGACTCATTCACTTCACTGACCTTGAGTATACTTTACTGAGTATTGTACTAAATTCACCACCTAGAGGCAGTTGGCAGGGTTTTTGTTTTGTTTTTTTAACATATGATATATGATCTCTGATCTCAATCATATGATACATGTCTTATAATGTGTTGGGCTTCAAAGCAGCAGTTCTGAGAATGCCCTCTTTGAAGGCCAAGAACATTGGAACAGAGTTCTGTTTCCTGGTTTCTTATTACCTCTTAGCCTTGCCTGGAAGCTCAGCAGGAGGGAGTGGCTGAGACAGAGAGGAGGTGCCTAGATGCCTCCTATTGGGTAACCTGCTGGGCTGACCAGCAAATTTCCCTCCTTAAACCTCACACCAGTTTCTCTTCAAAGTTCTTAAAAATATCCCCAGAGTAGCATCTTGACGGTCCTCTGTCCCTGGAGACCCACTCTTCCTCTATAAAGAACTACTCATTATTTCTTTTAAGCTGGTTCTAACAAAAATACTTCTTCCTAAAACTTGCCTTCTGTGACCCATGAACTTCGCTCTTCAAATTTTAAGACACAAACTAGAAAGCCATTGGCTTTGGTGGCTCTTGAGTTTTCCATGACACTAGCCCTCCAAGGCTAAGCTCCCTAAGAACTTGTTCAAATAATAAACCTCTTTTTTTTAACCTGGTTGTGGTTATTCTTTTCTGACCCATCAAGACTGAATCTACTGCCTATAGCCATAGTAAATTTTTAAGCAACAAAAGAAAGTGAATATTCTAGTGTTCCAAGAATTAGACCTCCTCTGTACTTGTAGTTATTAAAAGGCAATATAGAACAAGAAGGTTTTGTTTTGAGAAAGGGTTTCTCTGTGTTGCTCTGGCTGTCCTAGAACTCACTCTATAGACCAGGCTGGCACTGAACTCAGAGATCCATCTGCTTCTGCCTCTGACTCCTGAGTACTAGGATTATGGGTGTACATCACCACTGCTTAGTCTCATAGGTTTTGTAGACACAAACTATTTGAATGTACCTTTGCACTTTTATTAGTTGTATGATTTGGGGAAGTTAAAAAACAAAAACAAAGCAAAAAAATACCTTCCTTTGCTAGAGTGGCACTCCATGGCAGAGTTGTAAATCATTTTGTATGTACACATGATCCTAGGTTTGATCTCTAGTAGTACCAGAAAAAATAACCACCCTTTCTTCAGTTTCAACGTATCATTCTGAAATATGGAAATGCTAATGCCATACCACAAAGGAATTCCAGAGATAAATTAAATTATGAATATAAAAGTGCTTACTTACAGCTTTCGATTATTTCATAAGTTCCTTTGGTTATACCCATTTCAACAGTAGTATAGCAACATTTTTGCCTTCCCATTTGAACAAATTCTCCTAGTATCATTAAACAAGTTTTAGACAGCCACCCCAAAAATCCACCACAAGAAGCTAGCTCTTAAATTCCACTGTAAGAGACCAAAGTATACTATCCATAATTAGCCTCTTTCCTGTAACCACTATGCTGAGCCAATCCTTTTGGAAAACATAAGACACCTGGGAAGCTGTGAAAAGCAAATGAAAAAATCAAAGTCTCCCTTTTATGAGAGAGATGTGTACATCTGCAAAGGTAATCTCCATTTAGAAGTGTTTCCCCTTCTTGCCCTACAAAAAGAAGGATAAGTAATAAATGTAGATCTCATTTTCCATTCTTTTCCTGACCATCTCCCTAGCAGGCCTTTCCCCATATCTGTTTATTTCAGAGAGAATGATATTTAAGCACAGAATCTAACAGACCATGTTCAAGTCTGCTCTTACGGTAGGGACCCTCATTACCTACCATTTGTACAGCACACAGTCATGTTAAGAAACTTCTGTTTTTCTTATGCTTGCATTTCAACATGTTTTTTTAAACAGGGACCCATATCAAATAACATCTAAGAAAGGGTAAAGGAACATAGAATTCTTGCCTCCCTGATACCAAGTCTTGCTACTATTGCTGCTAAAATGGCATGCTGAAATTCATCTAGCTTGTCTAGCAGACCCTATAATTACACACAAGAGTTTCCAATCTTAAAATTGAAATGAAGACAAAATCTAATAGTTCTGATTTCCCAAGTGATAATTCCTGTAGAGAAAAACAGCCATTTTAGATTCAAAATTATGATATTGAAGATATAACATCGGAATATGATATATAAAAGTCTTAGAAGTAAAAATAAATCCAAGCCAGGCAGTCATAATAAAGAGTTTTCTAATTCTGACTAGGATTATTTACACAAATTGATAGTTTTCAAAGTCAGATTGTAAGGGCTCTGGGCTGGATGATAACATAACATAGAATATAAATTCAATGCCAGTTTTCATATTTTTCCCTTAAGAATTACACAAAGTTACCTGTCAGAGCTTTCCTCACTTTCAGCAGAGCTCCTATAGCCTTCTTCTACCATCTAAATGGAAAAAAGTTGAAACAAATTATTGAAATGACATCTTTATTCAGTACAAGGTGTTGTTTTTTAATCTAAATTGTAACCCTCAGAATTTAAATGACAATATTCCCTTTGCTTGGTTCTTAATACTGTTAGCTCTGGCCTTGGTCATCTTGTAAAGTGTCCCCATCTTGGTTAACCACGGCAATTCCCAAGCTAAAGTGACTCAATTCCTAGAACTACAGTAAGCTGCTTTTCTAGTTTCTTGCTGACCCTATGCTTTCCAACCCCAGCAGTGGCTAGCCAAGATCCTCTGACACTATCTTCACACAGACTGGTAACTCTTAGCAATAGCCACTCTGTAACTACTTGTGTCTAAGGGGATCACAGGCTCTCTAGTTTCTTGAAGTAGACATCTCCCTAGTACTGCAATTGAGAAGAATCAAGTGACTTCCCCAAGGCCTTATATTCAGAGGATTGTCTTGAATTTAAGCTCTGTCTTAACTTCCCAAATGCTGGAAACTTAGGTGTCTGCCACCATGCCCAGCTCCAAGGACAATTAGAAAGCAGTTCTACTGTAAGACTGGAAACAATTTTTGTAAGCATATATAGCATGACATATGGCTTCTTTGTACACTGACATTGCTAACATTTTGAGTTTTTAAACTCATGAAAATAATCATTCATACAAATAAATGCCAAATTTTCAAAGAAGCAAAATGACACATAAGGAAAGCCTAATTAAATGAAAACATTACATAAAACCACACAGATTTTTGAGGTAGAAAGTAGAAATCATTACACTTACCTCTCTATTGAGATTAATTAGCTCATTTCTCTGCTGTTCCTGATCCCGTAAGTATTCAGTCATATCTATTATTGTAGAAAATCTGGTATTCATCATAAAGGGTGAAAATTCAGAAAAACATTTTTTACCAAAACATATCACTGACAGATGATTCAACATCTGTGAATTATTTATTCAATTTTAAGTATGTATGTATGCTTCTCTGTCAGAGTATGCACATGGGGATGCCAGAAGAGGGCACCAAGTGTTCTTCATAATCACTTTCCACATTTTGTTTTAAGAAAGGTTTCTCTGTGATATAGGGGCTTGCCTTTTCTTGGTTAGTCTGGGCCAGCAAACTTCAGTGACCAGTCTTGTCTCTCCCCATTTCAGTAACTACTACAACTTTGTGTAGGACACCTGGTGTGGGTGCTGCACATCAAGGGCTCTACTGCTAAGCTATTTCTCCAGCCCCCTAGTTAACATTTTTAAGGAGAACATTACAAATTAATTCTCTTTATCATACTGAAATGTAAAATAGTTATTAGTTGTATGCTACATCTAGGAAAATAGATGAAATTAGGAAATATACCAAGTGAGGTAATCCAGACCAAGAAATACAAATGCTGCATGTTCTCTCTTTTTCAGGGGTCCTCTGAATTGTTAGATGAGAATGCACGATCTGAAGTAACCTCGGAAACGGGGAAAGCACAATAGTGGGAGGAGGAGGCTCTCTAGAGCTGTGCAGAATAGGACACTGTTGCTGTGAAGGGGAAAATCACAAACTAGGTTGGGGATTTAACTGGAAAGCATGGAAGAAATACAGAGGGAAAAGGATGGAACAATAATTAACACTAAGAATGCATAACAAAGTCATAAGAAAACAGTAATTTTGTTACATGGACTTAAAATACACATACATGTATGTATTTAAACATATGTATGTAGTTTGAATGAAGTTGTGCCATTTTAAGTTCCAATGCTCCTCACAAGAATCATAGACAACCTAACAAAAACCCAGTGCTAGGTATGGGAAGTGTCCCTTTCAATTGTTGTTACTGAGAGTAGAAGAGACTCCCAAAACAATGTAGGCTATTGCTGTTGCCTTTGTTTGCCTTGCATAACTTGAAGGTATGACCCTGCTGAAGACAGCACACATGTTAGACAGTGGACTTGGAGGAACTGAGCTACTCAAAGACATATTTGCTGGGCAGAGGTTGTGGCTCAGAGGTAAATCACTTGCCTAATATATACCAGGTTTTGGGCATGATTTCTAACAACAAGAAAGGAGACAGAGACACACACAGAGAGATTATTGTCTGCTAAAGACTTTTAGGACTCCTTAGGAAGGAAACAAATTTGTTACAGTTAGTTATATCTTATCGATTTTACATAATTTGTCGGTACATTACCTTGCCTACAAGTTTGGAAGATGCAAAAGAACTAGATACTAAATGAACATATTTTGGTTATTGGGTAGGCCTCGTAGAAAAGGTCAGAAACTGGGAAACAAACTTAGGTAACTGCATGTGCATGACTCTTGATACCCTGAGCCACATAACTGGAATAGTCTGAATCGGAACAATTTCTGAATTAGGAAAAGACATATTTAGCTAATAAGATACAGAAACATGCTTATACATTTCCATATCATTTAGAACACTGTACTAACATTGATAACGTATTGATTTTGTTTTTACCTGTCCATTTCAGAGTCAGAGTCTGATGATGTTTCGCTTCTTTCAAATCTTCCTCTTTGACCACGGTATCTCTCTTCATGACTGCGAGATCTCCATGTACGGTTGTTATGAGCTCTCCCTGAGTGGTCATGATTAACCCTCCCAGCATGGTTGTGATGAGCTAGCCCTGTGTGGTTAGGATAAGCTCCCACTCTGTGGCCACGATGAGCTAGCTCCACGTGTCTACCATAAGCTCTCCCGGCACGGTTGTAAGGAGCCGGCCTTGTGTAGTTAAGATGAGCTCTCCCTCTGTGGTCACGGTGAGCTAGTCCTGTACGGCTAAGTTGAGCTCTCTCTGCATGGTGTTGATGAGCTATACCTGAGTGGCTAGGATGAGCTCTCCCTGTGTGGCCAAGATGAAACCTACCAGAATGGTCATGATGAGGTCTATCTGAGTGGTCATGATGGGGTCTACCTGAGTGGTCACGATAGTGTCTACCTGAGTGGTCATGATGAGGTCTACCTGAGTGGTCATGATAGTGTCTACCTGAGTGGTCATGATAGTGTCTACCTGAGTGGTCATGACGGCGTCCTTCTGAGTGTTCACGATGGGGTCTAACTGAGCGGTCATGATGTGGTCTATCTGAGTTGACAGGAGTGCTCCTGAAGTGGCTATAAGATCTTCTGGAGGGATAGCCATGAGATCTGCTAATGTGGTGGGCACGAGATAGAGAGTGGCCATGAAATCTCCCAAAGGAAACTTGATTTCTTTCTATTTGTGGATGTCTCTCTTCTGATTGGATTCTAGTCCACCTTGATTGAACTTCACGGTTGTCATATCTCATCTACAAAGGAGCCCAAATACATAATACATATGAAACAGATAGTCCATGATTTGATTAAGTCGTAAGGATATTGTTCACAACCCTTGTTTCCCTCCTTCCTTCCTTCTTCTATCCCTCCCTCCCCTCTTTACTTCTTTGAGACAGAGTCTCACTATATAGTACAGGTTAACCTGGAAGTTGAGATTCTCATGAATACTTGAATAGGCTTGTGCCACCACACCCAGCTTCTCAAGACCATTTCTAGCAGTGACTTTCTCCCAGAAATATACTATGACTCATTTTATATACTATTTTGCAGATGCAACTTAAAGACCTAAGTCTCATGTACCATGTCACCAGCACAAAGATGATTATACACATGTAACATAAAAATATGGAAAATTAGGTGTCTTGTGATTTTTAATAATAAAACAATCAAACTATGTAACTTTTTAATTGAGGAGATAGACTGGGGGGGGCAGTTAAGATCTTATGCTGGCCAGAAACTCACTATGTATCCAAGCGTAACCTCAAATTTCTGAAACTCCTGCTTTCACCTCAAGTGCTATGATTAAAGACATGTGCCACAACATCTGGTATTATGTAGTACTGAGGAGTGAACCCAGATCTTTATGCATGCTAAAGCAAATATTCTACCAAATGCACTACTTCCACAGCCCCAAGAGCAACAGAGTATTTAATAATGTTCTTAAAACAACTTCTTAAGATCAAAGAAGAGCATTATAAATTATTCTCTTATTTCCCTGTCCAGGGATCATTAAAAACTACCTTTTAATACAAAAAATACATAATTTTAAGGAGAAAAACCAAATCAAGTGGACAGTATGCTCTAAAGGAAGCAAAGCATTGGCTTGATGCAATGTAAGAAAACTGATCTGGTAATAACTCAGCTTTTCTACCAAATGGGCTGTAGAGTGAACCACCAAAAAAGAAAATAATGAAAACTTTGACAAATGTCTATGATATCCAAAAGAGTAAATGAATAACATAATATGGACTGTAACAAGAAAGCAAGCTTTAAACTAGCGTATGTTGCTTATCAAGGAAAATATCCTTATATCTGGCATTCCTGTGTCCTGCTATTACAATGTTAAATACTGGAAGTAACTGTTAAATATGAGGAAGGTACTAATACAAAGAATATTATATATAAACAATTTGAATAAAATAAAAGTATGAAAAAATCAGTTGATTTGCTGAAGGCTAAATCCATAGCCACTCTCCAGTATTTCTATTGAAAACATGAGTAAGTACAGTAGGTAGAATACCCATGCTACTTTTTTCATTTTAAGTGACTAGTGTTGGGAGAACAGTAGGTCATCATGAAAAACAGGATAGAGGCACATCTCCTGAAGACCCTTTTAACAGAGTTTTCAATATTTTCATTAATGTTGTTGTAAGGAATATTTTCTGTGCCGGGGTTATAGCTCAGTGGTACAATGCATGTTAAGTATGAGCAAGGCTGTCGTTTCCAACTGTTGCATTCCTAAGAAATTATTTGTATCAAGTTAGGTACTATAAGATTCCTAAATTTAAAAAAAGAAATAAATACTGTTAAAAAGGAGTAAATACTTAAGAAAAGAAATAATCTTAAAGGTTATATATATAATTATATACATTATATGTGTAAAACCTCATATATATATATATATATGTATATATTGTGTATATGTGTCTGTGGTGTGTGGGTATATGTGCTATGGTGTGCATGTGAAAGTCAGAAGCCAATTTTGTATTAGCCTTTTTCCTTCCACTTACAGTGGTCCTAAAATTCAACTGGGTTGGATAGGCTTATGTGACAAGTACCGTTACCATGTTCTTTCCTATTTACAATCACAAACGTATCACAAATATTTATATAGACAAGGTGTGGTAAGCTTATGCCTATAATCCCAGCACTTGAAAGGCTGATGTCACATATGTGTCTGTCCACAAAGGCCAGAAGGCATCAAAGCCCTTGGAGCTGGAGTAACAGGATGATGTAAGCCACCCGACGTTGGTACTCAGAATTGAATTTGGGTTCTCTGGAAGAGCAGCAGGGGCTCTTAACCACGGAGACATCTCTCTAGTCTTGATTTTTGGTTTACACAATCAATTTGAAGTCTATTTTTACACTATAACTATACATAATTGTATGAGAGTCAGGCAGTGGTGGCATACACCTTTAATCCCAGCACTTGAGAAACAGAGGCAGGCAGATCTATGTGAGTTTGAGGCTACAGAGCAAGTGTCAGGACAGGCTAGAAGATACACAGAGAAACTCTGTCTCAAAAAAAAAACAAAAAAGGTTGTATAAAGATAAATTTAGAATGATTATGTAGGATAGATAAATGACAGTCACCAACAATCTATTTTTTACATTTTTATATTTTTGTAAATTCAAAATTCCTGATAATTGAAAATAAAAATAAAATGTTCATTGAAATAGTTGTAGTGATAACAAGTTAACTAAAAATATACTATTTAAATTAAATATAGGGTAGCATGGAAAAATGCTAAGAAGAAATCCCTGTTCTCACCAAAACTTAAAACTATCTTATTACAAAATATATTAGTTGGGTTTAGTGTTTAGAATAAGAGTGGCCCCCATAGGTTCATATATTCAAATGCTTGGTCTGTAGTTATTGGAACTGCTTGGGAAGTGTCTAAGTTAGGGTTTCTATTGCTGTGGAGAGACACCATGATCACAGCAACTCAGAAAAGCATTTAATTGGTGATTGGCTTACAGTTCAGAGGTCAACCATTGTCATCGTGGTGGGACACACAGGAAGACACAGTGCTGATAGAAGAAGCTTAGAGTTCTATAACTGGATTGGCAGGCAGCAAGGAGAGAGTGATACTGGGCCTGGCTTAACCATCTGAAACCTTAAAAAGCCTATCACAAGACACACTTTCTCTAACAACGTCACAGCTCCTAATAGTGCCACTTCCCATGAGCTCATGGGGGACATTTTCATTCAAACCACCACAGAAAGAACTAGGAGGCATTGCCTTGTTGAAGATGTGTCACTTGGGGGTGGGGGGCTTTGAGGTTTCAAAAGTCCATGCTATTTCTAATGTCTCTCTCTCTCTCTCTCTCTCTCTCTCTCTCTCTCTCTCTCTCTCTCTCTCTCTC